CATATTTAAAACGTTGTAAACACTTTTTTTCTCACTTCTGCTGACTGTCATACGTGCAAGCCGTTCCGGCGGATGATGAAAAAGTTTTATAACGTTTCAAATATGGATTTTTTTTTTTTACAAAAACGCATCAATTCGCTACAGGAGGCCTTTATTCACCCCCCCACCCCAGAGCCGTGTGAGGCACATTTTATTACAGATGCGCGTGCTTTATTTGACTACTTTTGGACTGTTGAACAAAAAAACCCCCCTACTCCCATTCTAACGCTTGGAAGAGCAAGAAAATGTTTTAATATAACTCCGATTGGATTCGTCTGAAAGAATAAAGTCATATACACTTAGGATACTTTGAGGGTGACTAAAACATGGGCTAATTTTCATTTTTGGGTGAACTAACCCTTTAAGTATTAGGTACACTACAAGTGCACATTCAGTACAATTGAGTGCATATCTTTTTAAGCCCTGCATTTTGTTTTCTTTAAAAATTCATAATTTCAAAAGAAACAAACATCTTACTGCATTTTCCTCCTCCTGGCTGTTGCTGGCGTCTTCGCTTTTGCGGTACTTGTCTGATGAACGTGAGTCTCTCTTCCGGCTGGTATCAGTTCCCTCCATCGGCCTCTCACCATCTGTAAATGAGACAATGACCGCACACATTCACTTTATATTTCATCAGCAGTATTATTGGTTCTCTATCATTATCATTTATATTGCATACAGCACGCAGAAATCATGAGCAGCCATTATAGTGACTCTTCTTAGCAGTTTAAATCATTCTTAGAGAGAGACAGCAAGAGAACACATGGAAATGGCTACAGCTGGGGTGCAAAATTAACACTTGCCAAGTGCCAAATGCAAATAAAATTGCCTTTGGCAAGAAAATGAATAAATAAAAACACCTCTCATACACCTGGACGGCAGCAGCTGTGTAGGCAAGTATTAGGAAAAATGCCTGAAGAAGGTCTTTGACCAAAATGTTGTTTATCAAAAAATATTTGCAAGCTACAACACTAGGATTGCTTATTATATATTTTTCACTATTTTGGGGAGGAATACTACCTTCCAGTTAGCTGATGGCCTTACAGAGCTAAACTTTGACTATAAGCACAAGTTCTGGTCCACATCACAGTTTATTCAAGCTGAGAACAGCCCACTTAGACAGGAAGAGACTTTGTTTGTTCATGGTTTGTGTTTTTTTCTTGTTTGTTTTTTTTGTTGTAGTTGCTTTGTACCTTATTTTATTAGTATTGCCACACACTGTGTTTATCATTGCCTTCTGTTTCTGTGTACACTATTTTCTGTTGAAAATTAAAAAAAAAAAAAAAAAACAGGAAGAGACTGTCTGACATATACAACAATCAACCAGTTTCTTCACTGATTTGAAATGCTAAACCCAGTTAGCCTAACTTCGAACTGCAACATAAGAAACTTGAGTGTTGTGAATTAATGAAAAAAAAAAAAAAAAAAAAAAAAAAAAAAAAGATAATAGGATTCTACTGATAAACTTCTACTAAACTACCGCAAGTAAATTCCTACGTCATCTTTGGTTAATACATAATAATTTTAACTATTTAAAATGATTCAGTATTGAATAATTGGTGGAAGTGTTAAAACAGTTGGCGGAAGTGATATAAAAGTGTTTATTACGTTTGAAATATGGATATTTTTCTTACAAAAACGCATGGATTCACTACAGAAGGCCTTTATTCACCCCCCAGAGCCGTGTGAGGCACGTTCTATTATGAATGCACGTTCTTTATTTGAAGACTTGCGGACTGTTCAACTGCAACACCCGCTGACTGCAATGATAGAGCTTGGAATAGCCAGGACAATTGTAATATAACTCCGACTGGATTCACCTGAAAGAAGAAAGTCATATACACCTAGGATGTTTCGAGGGTGAGTAAAACACAAGCCAATTTTCATTTTTAGGTGAACTAACCCTTTAAACCTAACCAGCTGTGTTAACAAAACACTTGCTGAAGCATCCATGTCAGTAGCTTGCTTTTTACAAGTTTTTAGTTTTTACAACTCTTTTGTCTTAACTCCTTTTTTTGGAACTTATACCTGAGCTCTTCACATCACAAGTGTTGCTGTACCAGGGGGAGCTACTGAGCGAGTTTACTATGTCCGAAAAGTCATACATGCGGAGCTGGTACTGTAATGCAAATGTGACAATGTATTAGTTTACAAATCATTCACCATGCTAAAAGTGATTTGAAGACAGTACATAGTATTGTGCAAGGAATCACACAAAAAATTAATATTTATTAACTGATAATCTACCCCTGTAATCACTTTTGGAAAGCCATTCGGCCAATCAAATGTGAGGACCAGAACTAACTGTTGCAAACAATGTATTAATGCGGGAAAAAAAAAATTGCCAAGCATTTTCACCATCAATTGTCACAGTAAGTTAATTTTGGACTGGTTGCAGCCCAGAAACCAGTGCCACTAGGTCAGTGACACACTTTGGATGGATTATGGGATTGTCCTCCATTGACTGATATTAGGAAATGAGGATCACTCAGATGGCATGGCGAAAAGCTAGAAGGATATACTTGGAGGTGTGCTAACATCAACAGATGGATAAAAGATATTTTCAGCAGTCAGATGAGGAGAGGGACTACAAGGTAAATATGGCACAAAATCCACCTTGGCAGAAGCTCCTTATAAAATGTGTCAAGAATAAAATATCTTTGTATGAGTGTTATTGCCTGTGGGGTGATTATGACTTTACCTCTTTACAAACACAGTCACACATACAAGGAGCTAAAACAGTTTAAGAAATAAATTTGTACTGTAACCAGAGGGAATAAAGCTATAAAATATAATGAATGCTTCTCCTATAATAAAAGATTCTCTTGATATCTACTGACTATAGAGGAAAGGCAGTTTGTGGTCACAGCCTGGAGGTCTAGGAGACATTATGTATGCACTTGCATGTGCATAGTAGGGCTGTGAAAAAAAATTCGAATTTCGAATTTTCGTCGAATTTAAAATAAAAATCCAGAATTTTACGTGTGCGTTAAAGAGGCTGCCTTTTCAGTGGCGCACGAGATGCGATGACGATGTAAATGTCATTACATTTTAATGTTTTTGTTAGTCTATCCAGTTGAAGCCACTAGATGCGGTGCTGCTGCGTTGTTGATTACAAATATTGCGGGAAAAGAGAACATCAATGCGGAGAAGATCTTGTTTACGTCAAAACTGAAAGCAAACCGTTCACACAGAACGCATATTTCGCGCATCTATCACCGCTGCACTCGCGTCTCGCACAAGAGAACCGCATGTTTAGAAAGCCATGTAAAATTAATGCAAGTTCAACTTTGAAAAACATATCTCGGGACTTAGTGGCGGGTTTTTTTCCCCATCCCACTGCAACTCGTGTTTTTAAACGAAAATGTACTCTGTATGATTGGCTTTCGGCCTTTTGTATTAAACTATGAATGCATACATGACGCTGTTTTGTTTATAGTTGTTTAAAAAACGTAATTATAATTGGTTTATAAACATTATTTTAAACATTATGCACTTTTTTTCACAGTCATGTTATCTTATGCTCGATGCTCCCTCTTGTGGCCTCAGGAGAAAAGCCAAAAGCTTTTCTTTACCCTAACTGAAATTCTGCATTTTAAATTCAAATATAATTCGAATTTTGATAATACTTAAGCACAAAATTCGAATTTAGTTTTTCAGCCATTTTGACAGCCCTAGTGCATAGTGTGTGTGTGTGTGTGTGTGTGTTTGTGTGTCACTGCAAGTAATATAAGAGAAGGCCTAAAAATGAAAAAATATTGTAAACTGGGCCTCAGAAACTCATAGGCCAATGTATTCTGTTGCACCCACTGAATGGCTGGAAGTATTTGGCACCATTTATTTTAATTGCAGTAAGTTATTATTAAAGGTGAAAGTCATTTTAAGTAATTTTTCGATCTCCAATATGACTGTCACGGTGCACACACACTAGGAACGAGGAGACGCTGGAGAATACTTTACCAAGGCTTTATTTTCAGGGACTAAGGGAGACGAACTCAGGAAGACGTTTAACAGCGGACAGAGAACTTGGGACTGGGAACACTTTTTATACACACAGGAGGAGGGGATGACGAGACACACCTGGGAGCAATGAAACATCAAGGGAAACACCTGGGACAAATTAACTTAACTAATCAGGGGAGGAACAGGAAACTAACCAAATAAGGGCATGGGAAGGCACATGGGGAGCAGGACACACACAAAACATGGAACAGAGTCTGACAATGACAGTGTACCTAAACTTGTTACTGACACCTAGTGGTGTGGATGCAACATCAAACAAAAACAGATGTTTTCGGTTAAGAGTATATAAGCACAAAAATAATTGCAATTGTCAGTCAAGATTCATTCGTTGCAAAGATTGAGTTTGTGGAAACACATTTAATACCATTTATGCAAACAGTATTTGTCTGGTCATGTGATTTCAACATGGCTGCCACCATATGGGGAATCCCCTTTGCACAGAATAAAGTGGCTTTTTCTGGGCAACTGATATGACTGAAGTCATCTCATCTGAGTTTACTGTACATCTGTCAAAAACACAATTAATCCCTTTAGATGTAACGTTTTTAGTGTCAAAACATGACTTTAAGACAATGAGTGTAAGCTGCTACACTCCTCCTTTGACATTTAGGCCCAATCCCAATTCTATTTTAAAATATGAACTCACGATTGAATGTAACATAAAACAAATGATTACTTTTCGTTAAAATCTTTATTAATGCCAAAAATGCTTACATTTCTGTGTCTTTTTCTTCGCTCGGGCAGCCATGTTGCCCCTGAAGCCGGTTTACGCTGAGATAATTCATACCCCTTCGTTTGAAGTGTGGTCCCGAAAAATCTTCGTTTGAAGGGCTATCTAGCCCTTCCCCTACCCCCACCCCTCCAACCAAAAGAGAATTGACCCCTACCCCTTCACGTGAACGCGCGAAACGGAGGGGAAGGGGGAAAGGGCTAAGGGGTAGAATTGGGATTGGGCCTTATTCTACTCGGAGTGAGGGAACAAATGTCAAAAAGATAAAATAACAAAAGCAAAGCTATCACAGGTATACAAACTGCAATCTTGAGTTGCCAGGAAACTGTCAGGGCCACCTCAGAAATTCACTTAGTGGATTAAAAACATGAGGATGAGCTCCAGTCACAGCATGAGTATCCGTATCCCACAAGGTCTTTGTTGTTGCAATACCTTGACCAAAATAAGGGACATTTTAATAGTGGCTTTATCACTTCATTACAAAACCCCCTTATTTGAACATCCTTGAATTTGTGAATTTCACAGGGATCGCCACCAAAAAAAATCTCTTCACCCCTGACTGAAAATTAAGTGGTTATAGATTAATTCCAAATGGAGAGCCTTCGGTAAATGTCATACTCTCAATTAAGGTATATTAGCATCAGGGAAACTAGCAGAAATGAAATTTTAACATAAATAAAATCGACAGAGACAGGTGCTGTGCTCCCAAGGCACTGCCTTTTATGCAAATGCCCATTCTTAAATATTCATGAGTTGCAAAGCAAAAATTAATGGGATATGCAGTGCTGTATGCAGTATGGATTTTGGACTGTTTTACTTTTTACCCACTTTGAGTCC